CATTCGTAGTTAAAAACAACATATTTTGATGTTTGAATTTGAGGAGAGGAGAGGAGAGGGTTCAATTAGCTCCCCATTTACGCACCCAGGCCGAGAAGAAAAGTGAGGGAAGGAGGCATTTGCGCGGGGAACGATATAAACCCCCTCTCCCTCCCTTTGCTCCCCTCCCAAAAAATGGAAACCCCTCCTCCTTTTTAACTAGAGAAAAAGGGAATCAGAACAATTAAGGGGTGACTGCCACACCTCATACTGACATAATAATGGGGAATTTGGGAAAAAAAGGGTTTTGATTGTTAGAAGGCTAAAACACGTAGTTGCGGTTGGTTTGTGAAAAAAAACTGCTCCAACTCTGATATTATCAGCTTCGCTGCTGGTATTTTATCCCCAAAATGGATGATTTTATCTTGCATCCTTCCAAAAACAAAATCGGGAGTCGCATACAGTTTCTGGTGAAAAAAAGAACGCAAATTTATGGTAAAAATACGTTCCTCTAAGAGTCATTGATGATGTATTTTTGCAGTTAAACTATTTGACCATAAAACCCAACTTCAGTAAACGGTAAAGACCAAAAGATAATAATTGTGAGGAAAATATGAGCGCTAGTGGTTCAGAGGTGGCTTTATTTGCCCCTCCTCATCCTTTCGAATTGTATTTTCTAGTGTGTAATGTAAACCTTTTGTAATTTGCATGTGTCCGGAGTTTCTCAATCTCAATGCTGAAGTTTTTATGCGTCTTTTTCACGCAGTTCAACATCCATTAAAGTGTGAGGGCTGTAAACGCGAGCCAATTGTCGGTCTGCGCTATAAATGCACTCGCTGTCCGAGGTACAACTTGTGCCAGGATTGCTTTTGGACCGGAATCACCACCGATCCCCACACCAATAGCCACGATGTGAAAGAGTACACCTCTGCAACGGTGAGTGAGTGGACTACTGTCCAGAGCATTGTCATTAGTGCTTAGCACTTTAAAAGGACAGTGCTTTTGGGCGATCGGAGAGGTAGCCAGTTAACTGGGGTGCAATTGTCACCATTGCCGACAGAGTTGGGGAGATGGAGATTTCCACTTTATTATGGAAAGGTTGGTGTGACTCTCAACTGTAGAATCTTTTAACAGGCTAGACGACTACCTTTTTGGTTACAGAATGAAACAAGGAATGCCTATACCTTTGCCAGAGCCCTCTATCACTTCATTTATGGCTAAATTTCATATCGAGGGTAATCACCGTATATCCATGTATGCAGGGACGGTAAAAGTCGTCTTTTGGATGATCGCGTTTCCGGAGCTAAGTAGAGGCTTTGGTGCAATTTGTGTGCTTTTATCGCTCTCTCGAAGCTATTAAGGCGGCCGAAGGATCTAAAGTACAGGCAAGTAGGGGATTATTATCGGACGGTGTGGTGTGTAACATGCATAGCCAACCTTGATACAGCACTGCCAGGGGCCGTTTATGGCACTAAGGCCGGTGAAGGGGATAAGAAGAGCGGTAGGATTATTTCTTCAACTATGGCGACAAGTGAAAAAGGTTAGCAGAAGAGAAAATGATTAATCCTCTACTTTGAAGTGTTCGCCAAGGTGTTGTCTGAAATTCGGAATCTTGGGTGACTTTGATCAACATTATGTGCCCAAAAACACTCAAAAGAGCATAGTAGTAGTTACTTGCAAGACCTTTCAGGCAGAGTTGGCAATGTCACATTGAGGAGGGGCATATTGGTGTCATCATTTTGTCTACGCTTTTAAGAATCGAGTCACCTTATACCTGTCAACATAACACCTCATTCTAATGTTGTAGAAAACTCACTCCAGACAATTTGGTCACTCCTTGAGAAAGTCCTTCCAATTCGGCCGACAGCAGAGTCTACCCACTGGACACCCTACTCAACCAGCACCACAGCAGCCACAATGACAACAACACAAGGTAACAAACACCATGGGAACGGTCCGTTCACCTCAGCAGGCGCCATTCGCCTCATTTCCACAGTACCGGCTATATCGTCCTGGTTTGCCGCCTCAAATGTTACAGTCAGGTGGCATGCCTCCTACATTCTACTACTCTGTACCCGGACCTGGCCCGACCGCCATAGCTCGTCCACCGCCAACACCGGTGATGCAAACACGCGCCTTCCATAGAGCTGCTTCGGTGCCGCTTCAATCACAGGCACCGCTGCCACCGCCACCACCAGCCCCACAGCAACAACAACAAGGAGTCTTTGCACCAGGCTTCAACCCCACCACGGTACAACCGCTGTCTCCGCTTGCAAGGGGTAAGATCACTTCTAATACCTATGGAAAAACGCACAGAACTAAAACTCACAGGAAATTAAATTTCTGACAAAATGACCAGTTTGGAACTATTAAAATCATTGCTACCGCTTCAACAACTACAGATACTAACATTAAAGCAGCTTGGATGTATGAGAATGGTCCGAACTTTTGGACACAAGTGCTATCCCACCTGCTGCATGCGTAGTGTAGTGCTTTTTGCTACCGCATTGTTCCCAGAAGCCACAAGAGATTGTCTCGTTACGTGTGTGGACGACAATCTTGAACGCTCAAGTCAACAACTTGACTAAA